AAAATGTCAACGCCCACCACAAACTCCACGGACACGCCCGTCTTCGTCGCTCGGCGGGGTTAGGCCCTTTCGGTCTGGCAAGACCATTTCAGAGCCGGGAGGATGATGATTTGATGCCAGATGAAAACAATCTAAAACAATTTAGCTGTTTTAGAATACTACCAAAAGGGAATGAAGGATATACTAGAATAATCCGGCTGAAAATACATTTTTATGAGGTAGAAATTCCATACATGATGTTTTGAAAAAAATAGGTTTCTGAAACTGAATGAGAATAAATTTAGTGCCAACTAACCCGAAAAAATAGGAAGTTTTCAAGAAAAATTGGATATGAACTGGTAGCTAACTAAGGGTAAAAATAGGATTAACTGGTAGCCAACTAAAGGTTGAACAAGGGCGGACAAAGGAACGTCTCCAAGGGGGGCCAAATCAATCCATCCCGAAGATCATCACACTTTCTTTTGTTTATTTTGTTGTTAAGGACCCTTTCCCTCCATTGAAGCCATTGCAGACTCGGAAGAATTATGGGGATTAGGGGGGGGCATTGGTCTGGGCGACTCACCCTAGTGACTAGTGAGTCGCCGGCATAGGCGGCGGAACGGGGAGGGCACCGGGGCACCGTGCCCCCCTTTGATTTTGGCATTTTAACATTAGCCCTTTTAAGCTATGGGCGTTGCATGGAAAGAATGGAACCAAAAGTCGGCAGTACCTCCCTTAGCTGAAGGTGTTCCGCCGCTACTGGTCGCCGGGGCTGACCCGTCCAAATGGACAGGCCGATCAGCCCCCCCCCCCCCCCCAACTCATTCACTGCACTCGGCTACGGGTGTGCTCCCTTAGAAGCAGCGGCGCGCTCCAATGGGAGTCGCCCGCATGGGATAAAGTTGCCTGTCCAGCCCGGAACAGGGATTGCGGCGTGGAGGATTTTACTGTCCTGAGGACAGAAACGACTGAACGGGGAGCACCGCTGATTGATCACTCAGCGCTATATCGTACAGAACGGGCTTGGCTGGCGAGTTCCGCAATGCCCCGCCTGCGATTCCTTTCCCCGCGTACGTGTGCTCAAACACCTGCTCTCATAATATTTTGGATTCACTCCCCTGATTCAAAGTCCTTCGTCATAAATCCACATCAAGTGGCCGCCATGCAAACGACAGGCAGTATAAGTCATTTATTTCCTAATACAAAATAGCCATTGATACACGAGGGGATCATCAACAAAAACTTAACCCACCAACACACACGCGCCGAGCACACATTGGAGACCATTGGGAGGTGCTCGGGACCGCCCCGCTGCAGTAGCACGGAATGTTTGCTCTGGGCGGCCACCGGGCGCGGACGGTCGCCCGTCCCGCTCCGGTCCCATCCTGCCCCAGTTCCAGCCGGCGAATGTGCGTCACCCGGGGCGCCCCGACGGACCGCGGCGGCGCCACCGTCCAGCCCGCTCCGCGCCGCGGTCCGGAGGCGCCACCGTCACCGCGGCGAGCTCCGGCGGGCCGACCCATCAGCCCATCCTCAGCCGACGCGGGGCCGTTACTTCTTCTTCTTCTGCTCCTTCAACCGCTTCTTCTCTTCCCGCTTCCGCTCCTTCTCGTTCAAACTGTTGACCAGCTTGTACATAAAGAAGCCTGTCAACAAAACGTGCGTCAGGTGCGCTGACATGGGCAGACGAGAAAGGTGGTGTTGAAATTACACTTAACATGCAAGAGAGGCTGCAGCGTAAAGCAGTGCAAAGAAACTAGCGATACCAGAAAAGCTAGCACCTTAAAATGAAAACAGCTCTAAGCTTTTCGCACCTAAAGCAAGCAGCATAACATCTGACATTACAACACCCTGTAAGATATAACCCCTATAAGATATATATCTGTAAGAATCTTGACCACACCAACGAGCGTTCTCTAAGCAAAAACAAGAGCCTCGTCATCGTAACAGCGAACGGCGTCGGCGTCTGCAAAACAGGTGTTATGGTGAAAGGGTATCGGTGGTTGTACCATGTTGTAACTATCTGCATAAGTAACACTACCGGCAGGCAATGCCGTTCGGTATGACACTTGCGTTGATACAAGCACTGTCAGCCTACACCGGCCACAGGAGCGGAAAGTCCAGACCAGCCCCATCGCCAGAAGCCTGCAAAAGCCACAACCGAGCGGATAAAAATCGCCGGACCATTTGGCAAACGGTCTGGAACGGTGCCCATAAAATGAACAGAAGCGACGCCACCTTATCCAGCCGGTCTATCGGCTCACCAGTTCACCACTCACCCAGAATGGACACGGGTATGAGGCAGCAGACGACCTTCACTATGGGCCACGCCCACAGCAGGGTCTGCAGCAGCGCTAACGACATGACTGCCGGCGGAGCGCGGCTGCGTCTGCGTGCCGGGAGACCCGCCGGTCCTCGCGCGACACACAGCTGGTGGCAGCTCGTGGGACTTCGTCAGCTGCCTCCAATGGGACAGAGACGCGTCAGCGCCGGCGTGTGGGACCCGTGACGCTGCCGAGATAAGACTCGGGAGGAAGGGCCGTGGCAATGTGCTGGTTTGTTGGTTGCTGCAGAGCCATATAACAGCATGTTCGTGGCGGGCTCCTGACACCAGCAGTGCTCAGGCGACCGTCTGGAGGTCCTCCGTGAGGATGAGACTCAGGTCAGGGTGGCGAACTGGGAACAGGAGGCAGGTCAAGTCACCAGATCTGACCTCGGTGAGTGCCACTGGCATACGCCAGGAGCCGCTGCCAGTCACCGGTTAACTGTGGTAGGTAAGATACCCTGGTAAGTCCGACGGGTGGAGCAGAGGTCTCCGATTAGCTGATGAAGCAGTGGAATCGCTCGTTCGCCGTGTTGGTTCAGCCGGATTAGCAGCGTCTGCAGGTAGACAGTCTCGTAAAATAGCGACCTCAGGCCAACATGGCAAGCTTGTGAGCTCTATCATTTCATGAACTAGGGACTTTCCGCAGATCAGCTTCGAGAAACCGTGTACTCTTTACCTAAAATGCATGCCAACCAAATTTGTTACATCAGTGACCTTTGAGGTCATTCCAGCAGTGACCCTTATTAGGTCAGATGGTTAGGTGGCTCTTTGATGTCCGTTTGTTGGGGAAGCGACCTTGTAGATCAGTGGCTTTATCAGTAGGTAGTTAGCAGTTAGATCAGTAGTTAGATGGCTATGAACGAGATATAAAACGAAGTGATAATGCACGCCAAATGTTCCTACAGTCGATCATGCTGGGAAAATCTGGTAAATGTATCAGCCCTTTAAGCTTCGGACTGATACATAATATATTTACCAAACATTCGTACATAAAATGTCTTCGAATTTCATGTAAATGGCTGGGGCTTATTGGCCGAAAATGACACTATCCAAGCCGGGAATAGCCGGGATGTCAAATACTTCACTGGCAAATAGGCCCTGGACCATTCAACGAGACCATTGACCAATGAATACAGAATCAACCGCCAACTGATAAGCATCTGTACCGTGTGTCGCAGGATCGCTTCAGCCAGGCGCCAGGAGGACGGCTTCATCAACGAAACAATGCACCTTATCTTATCACATGAAAAGGATGGTACACAGCGTCGTCGCCTCTTGGAGCCATCAAAGGGCAACATTCCTAAGAGCGACTCTGAAGGCGAACGGATCACTTGCAGCCACCGAAACCGAGTTCCTGTAAGCACTTACTGGCCTATACACCGGATCGACCCCGCTAATAGACACTTGATGCTTGACATTGGACAGCATCCCCACCGGATCGAGCCGGGGTCAGCCGGTCGTGAAGTCACCCTACGCACCTCTCGATCTCACGCCCCAGCTGGAGCTCTGGGTCACGTCACTCACCGATGACTGCCATGGGAATGAGGAAGATGCCGAGTCCGAGCAGCGGCGACAGCAGCCACCAGAGGAAGCTCTGTCCGCCCTCGACGGCCGCCGCCTCGTCCGCCATGGTCGCTCCCTGTCCGTGTCCGTGTCCTCGCACCGTGTGCCGCGGCCCGTGTTCGCGAGGTGAGCGGAGCCGGCCGGTCGGCGACGTGGTGCCTCCCGCTGCCTGCGTGGCACCGAGCGCCGCTAGGCGGCCGCGCACGGGCGGCGCCAGGCACCGCACCGCGGGGGAACGACCACAACAAACGCACGCGACCGAGCCGGCCTTGAAATACCAAGTGCAGCATGAACCGGTGATGGTAACACCATTTTGGGGCATACAATTCGGCACGACACTCCACCCGACCACCCAATAGGTCAGCTTCCTTCGGTCTTGCCCAGATATCATTAGAGACTATGGGGTTAGGTTAGGGTATTACCGATTACGGAAGCACGCACCTCCCAAAGGTCAGCCGCCGCGCCTGCCTCGTCAGACTGGTGTAGCGCCCGCAGTCAGCTGAGGAGATGGCTATCAGCAGCGTCAGGGAAGGGTGGGAAACAAGGAGGGAGGGGTGGTGGTTCACAACAGAGCAGCCAGATTTCCACTGCAGAAGCCAGAAACCCATGAATGGAAACAAAGTGGTTTAACTTCGATGATGAACAACGCCGAAATTGATTGGTTGAGTCGTACAGTTCGATGAGCCAAGAATAAATAAAACTTCTTTTGATGACAGTACAGTCTGTACCGCGCAAAGTAACGGTGGATCAATCAAGCCTGACCGAGGAAGGGCCTGCTATAATCTGAAAGTCATCGAACCAATTGACCTGGGGAATGGACGAGGATGTCCATTGCTTCGGTGACTCAAATTTAGCAGTCCTTCCTCGGTCAGGCTTGATGGATCCACCGTTACTTTGCGCGGTACTTTTAAGACAGACTGTACCTACAGCGTAAAACACGGAAACACTGGATGAAAAGTCTTGCCAGTCGCACGTACTGTCGTATGATAACAGGCGAATTGATGCGGTATTCTGTGCTACTCGCGGTGCACATCTACCACTAACGGTGTTATGGCGGGAAGGGAAACCACCCTGTCTTTTTCATTTTTACTTGCTGAGCTTTCACCTGACAATGACCTGACCTGGCAAAAGATATGCATTAGGTTTATATATTCTTGAAAGCATGCAATTGCCGTTTCACGCATCTTTCTAAGGCTATCCATTCGGAGAGTCACAACAGCACACGAAACCAATCACAACGGCACCCGAAACAGCGATAACGAAGACGAGAGCGCTAAACCGGCGGCGGCCCGGTCACTGGTTGTTGTTGTTGTCCGTCCAGAGGACTCCGCCTCCCCGCGGTGGACGGTGGGGGGAAGGCCAGCCATGGCCGACCCCAGGCATGTGCGGCCCGCAAGCTGCACAAGCAAACCAAATGGAGTCCGAACTGCCCCCGACGTGCGGGGTGCCGTGGTGCTGGCGCCCTGCGGCCCCGCCGTCTCGCAGCCGTTCCGGTGGCGCCGGGGGACTGGCACCCCCCTGGTACCGTCGTCATCCACCTACCAGACCACCATCATCTACACATCTCCGCGGGTTCGGGCGCGCCGTGTGGCACCGGCGTGGCCCGGCCCGCGTAGATAAGTGAGGCCAGACACCCCCGTCGTGAGGCCCGACGGCGGGGGTCTGCGAGACCGTGGCCCGAGGGTGCCCCGGGGCCCGGTCACTGGTCGGCGGCGGCCGGCGCTGGCTCGTTGCGGCAGATGATGGAGATCCGTCGGCGCCTCGGCACCAACTGGCCGGCGAAACGCGACTCCGCTTCTGACAGCACTTCGTGCGTGTAGTCGTAGCGCGCCGTGTGCCGCATTATGTAGAGCGAGCGCCGCGGCAGCAGCGCGTCCAGACAGCGCGTCGGCTCTGCGCAGCTCACCAGTCTCAGCACGGCGTCCGACAGCAGGCTGACGCCCGCGATAACGCTGCCACAAAACCGGACGCTGTCGACGTGCGGCTTGATGACGCCGTCGGCGGCCAGGTCCAGCACATGGACGTGCTTCAGCGGAGGTGTGCCGGGTGGCATCGCGAGGTGCCGCACCCGCTCTAGCACCCGCTCGTTCTGCGGAAGCCAGTGGAGCCGCTCCGTCTCCCGGAATCCGTGAATCGCATCATCCCAATGATCGAATTCGTATCTCATCCTTCGCAGATACGGACCGATTTCTGCCATGATGCCTTCTTCCTCGGCCTCAGAGATGAAGTTTCGGAACACAAGCATGTTGTTGAGCACAGCTGTTTTGCATTCATGTTCCCAATTTCCAGTTAATTTTACGCAGCTGTAGTCTGGTTCAAATTGTTCTCCACCAAAGACTTTACTGTCCTGATGACCATTGAGAGATCGACTGCTTGTCTGCTTGTCTTTATTTCTCGTTGATGAACCAAAACATAGATTTTGAAGATATGTTTTACTCTTAATTCCAGCCAAACCAACGCATTTAAAAACATTCAGCTCTTTTTGAAGAATCATTTCATGCTTCCTTGACTTGCTTCCTGGATTTCATCCAAAGTCTAAAAAAGGAACAGTCCGTGAGGGTTTTTACATTTATCTAGAAACGAAAGATGCTGATGCAAAGTATACCACCGGTTTCTCAAACTGCCTTACATTGGCTATCAGCCGAACGTTAGCCGGTAACATGACAGTTGAGCCTGAGTGGTGGGTGGGCGTCTATTATAGGTCAGTGAGCCCTTGAGCGAGCCGCGGCGACTCCACCCCTCCCCTCCATCCGAGGCCACCCCAAACAGGCCGAGGCCACAGATCACATGTGGTGAGGAGACCAAAGAAGTGTGAGCCGCCCGTGCCGGTGGGCTATTCCTTATTGAAAACGGTCGAACAAGCCACATAAGCTGAACAGACCGTGTGTGTGCTCTTTGTGTGCACGTGTGTTTGCGGGGTGGGGATGAAGGGGGACGGAGTCGGAGGCTGGCGCAAGATATACTGAACCAGTATAGCGCCTTTTGGGGCGACTAACGGAGCGAGCGAGGGGGTGAGTCTTGCACGTGCGAAATTTCGAGGGGGTACCTCCAACTGACTTGTGCACGGCACCCTACTGACCGGTTTCTAGCGATGTGCCAAATTTGAGCACAATCGGCCCAGCCGTTCTCGAGATCTGGGAGCGGCACCCTGCACGTGCGCACGTGCAAAATGGGTCCCAACTGACTTGTGCACGGCACCCTACTAACTGGTCCCTAACCGTGTACCAAATTTGAGCGCCATCGGTCCAGCCGTTCTCGAGATCTGGAAACGACCCCTGCACGTGCGCACGTGCAGCAGCACCCCAACTCTGGCACATGGATATGCAGTGCCTAGTGGGTGCCTACCTACATGCCAACTTTCAGCGCAATCGGCCAAGTAGTTACCGAGATATTGCAACAATTACAAAACTGACACCTCTTCGTTTTGCACGTGGCACGTGCATAAGGGGTCACCTATATGCATCGGGAATAGTCCAATACTTGGTAGAAGGAATGAAGCTACCCTACAAAAATTACCGCGTGTAAATCGGTCAAGTGGTTGCTGAGATATAAGCCTCGCAAAAGCGTCCGCACGGCCGGCCGGCCGCTCATACTCAGAAATTTCCGTTAATCTAAGGAAAGACTTCGCTCGCTTCGCTCGCTCCGTAATTAGAGGCGGTAATTGGCGTAAAGTGAGCAAACATGAGTTCCTGTATGTTTGATGCAGTCTTGCAATGCAATCCAGCCATCCAAGAAACTTTGCGCGAGACGTTTTCTTGGATGGTTTTCTTGGATAGCTTGATTTCACCGAGGGCTTCTGTTTTAAAGAAAATTTGTAAGCTTTGCTGAACTGTTAAGTAATTAGAACTGCCAGTATTTCAGTATTTAACGTGTAGTTAATGTTACTGTATTTTATTTATGCATATTTCGGCCTTTTTTAACACGCGCAGTGGAAGGGGGGGCGGATTTCGCCCACCCCTCCTGTTTTTCGCCAATAACTCGCGCCGCAAGCATAATATCAATGTGAAATTTCGGCTACCTGTCCAGAATTGAATTGCGGATCTTCTCGTGCAAAAAGTAAGAAAATCGGTTCACAACTTTTCTAGTAATAGCGGTGTAAAGTCAAACATCCTGCCGCCGCGGCGGCGCGGCGGCGCGGCGGCCGGCGCTAGCCGTTACGCGCCGCCTGAATTGTAGACTGTGCCGGGGCGGGACGGTTTCGTCTTTACATCGCGCTCCTTACCGCTGATTATATTAGATTCGCGTCAAATTCGGTGAGAAGACTGAGAAATGTACAGGCAATCATATGGTCAAAGAATTTTGAAAACCGGCCGGTAACAACTTGAGTTATGAGTGTGTAAACACAAAATTGTGACTGCCGCGTTTCCCGCGTCGGCCGATGCCGCTTCAGCCGGCGACATCTTACCCTTATCAGGCTTCTAACTGCCATATTTATTGTTGGATTATCTAGAAATTCACCATACCTACATACTCACAAATGTTTGCTCTTTCATTTAGTGAAAGATTAAAAAAAATCGGCCGGTAACTTTTTGAGTTATCGGCGTGTAAACGCAAAAAAGTCGCTAATATGGCAGATTTGACCACATTTGACCTCATTTGACCTTGAAGCTATTGACCTAGGGTCATGAAATTCACACACAACAGAGTTCCCCATAGCCCCCACCTACCCTCCAAATTTCGTCTTTCTAGCTCCAGTGGGAGCTGAGATCTTAGGGGGGGGGGGGCGACATCCGCCCCCCCCCCCTTCCACTGGGCGTAGTACTCGCAACCCTTCCACTGCGCGTGTTAAGCAAATAACGAATCATATTAAGAAACATACAGGAAATAATATCTAGGACTCTACCGCGACGAAATATTTCTATCTCGAGTTTTCAAAGAATTTCATGCACTCGGCCAAGGCCTCGTGCATGAAATCCTTTGAAAACTCTCGATGGAAATATTTCGTTTTCGCGGTATCGTCCAAGAATGTATATTCTTGCACATTTGGTTCAAAATCAACAATTGTTTAGCGTGCTGAAATCAGAGTCATTTTTTTCTCCTGATAATATATAGCCTCATAATATGTTGAGTCAGTGCCCATGAGTCATGATTGACATTGACCTCCTTTTTCTCGTATGACAGGGCAGAAGCCAGCGATATTCGAGGTCGAAATTATAATGTTGACACCTGATTGATAATGTGTGAATCATCTCCATCATTTCATCGACAGCATTTAGCTAGCAGCATAGGTGGAGCTTTGTGCCGAGCTGGGAGGGCCCGACCTCTCCAAATTCGACGCTGACTTGGCTTTGGAGCCGCAACAGACCACGGAGGTCAAAGTTACCGCTAGGGCGGCGGCGGATTTGCTGCGCCCGGGCCCTCCCAGCTCCGCATAAAGTTCCACCCGTGGCTAGCAGCGTGATATTCAACTACCTATAGCCTATAGACATTCAACTACCCACGGTCTCAGAGGCACGACGATCTCGCTCCTCGTACCAAGGTCTCCTGCCATATCTAAAAATGACTTTAATGTTTGCGATGTTTTTAATTAATAAACTTGGCACGTCTGGTACATTATTATTACATTTTTCTGTCCGGACCCGTTCACCAACACATCACGAAAATGTATTCAAGTTTTTTCTGCTTTGTTTATTCGAACCTGTCAAAAAGCACTCAGCCATTGAAAATACATGCCATACATAGGAATATCAAAATCCAAATCACAAATTTTATGAAGAAGCATTGGTACATGGTGTATTAGTATAATGCAGACAACACAACAAAGTGAAGCACTTAAACTAGGTAAACGGAAGTGCGCCGAGACGATGATTAAAAGACGATACATGACGTAGCAACGATACGACATAAAAACCTAACCGAAAAGAGGCAAATTAGCTCAACAAGCATGATGATGGCAAACCAGTAACAATAAGCAAGCAATTCAGGCATGGAGGCAAGCCCATCAGTGAAATCTGGCAGTCAAGTAAGGCCATGGAGGATATGGAAAGCCAAATGTTCTAGCAGAAGATACATCCATCCTATCTTGTCAAAGATCAAGTTCACAAAGCTTGCTGTGAAGCAGCTTTAGTAAATAGTGTCTTCCAACTGCACATACATACACACTTAAAAAAACCTTCCAGATAAAAAATATCCATGGAACAAAGGAGACACCTACGTCCTACATGCAACCTAAAAAGCAAGCAGCATCCATGCAATAAATTGGACATTTGGGACACTGTCACATCATTATCACACCAAAAAGTTGAATGCAGCCCGGCTAGCTACTACACTGAAGCAGTCAGTTGATGGTTCTCTGACTCACCCATGAGACCCACCACCACCACCCCAGGGAGAATGAAAACAGAATTGTTGAAACCATGTTCGATTGGTCCATCAGGCCCTGCACCAGCCAAGTCCACCATGGCTCCTGCCAAATTTGGAAACATTCTGGTTCATTGCAAAGGAAGTAGGTACCTTTGTGCTAGAGCAGTATATGCATCGTTCACAAAAAGACAAATCAAATACATGACAATTATAATGCCAAGCACTTAGATGTGGTAAAAAAATTGTAGCCCAGGTCTGAAGAAAATGTCCAGGAAAATGATGTACCAGGATAATGATGCACCTAAATGGGTGGCTTGTCAGGAAATAATTGTCAGGCATTCTAATGTAATTTTACATTGGCATGTACATACACCATAAGCACATATTCCTCAAACCTGAGGTAAAATTGTAGATATTTTCATTTAATATGGTGCAGATTTCAGGAGCACTGACTTTGATAGTAAGTAGGCACTTAGTATTTTAGCACTGACTTTGATAGTAAGTAGGCACTTAGTATTTTAGTTAGTGAGTACACAAATTAGGTGGTCCGTGGTGATGAGCTTAAGTCATGAGGATCACCATGCACATTGCACAGTCACACATAAAAAAACATGACAGCACAGTTTTTGTATCATGGGACGACATCCTCCATTTCCAGCCATCAAGCAGCTGCATTGCATCTATAAAAGCAATGCCCTAACTACAACTGATCTATCTGCGACCAGAAGAGATGGATCACACATTAGGAATCTAGTTCAATTTAAGTTCAAAATATTTTTTCAACATGGGCACTGTCAGTTATCTGGTAGAACAGGGTAAGCACAATTATGCAAAGGTTTTTGTCACTGTATGATGAAATGTGACATCCTTTAAAAAAAATTGGAAAAATTTACGTCCCTTTTAATGCAAACTGCAGCGCAGAAACTGCTTTTAAAAAGGTATACATCAAATGTATAATCATTGGCAAATGTATGGCAAATGTATAATCAAATGACAGCATCTAGGGAGAGTAGAGATGCAGGGGACATGACAAGGGGCATGGGTCATCAACTCTGTTCGATATTGCTGCACTTCGCACTTCGCAGTCCTGGGAGATTGCGAATAGTATCATGAGATGTGAGATAAGCAACATTGTCACCCATGAACTCGACTGGAGCAGGCACTACAGGCCATTGCCCTCTCAAAACTTTTTCGAGCATCTTAAGCGAGGTGATAGAACTGAGGGGCAGTCCAACTCTAACTGCTACTTGGTTCCAGAATGAATAACTATCAGATGTGAAATCAGGAGGTCAAAATACATCATATAGTGTGCTTTTCATAATCGGTTTGCCACTCGGACCTAATATATACTAATACCCTTTTCAGTTGCAAAAATATTGGTACAAACATGTGAATTACAGATCCACAGTCATCATAGGCGGCGGAACGGGGAGGGCACCGGGGCAGCGTGCCCCCCTTTGATTTTGGCATTTTAACATTAGCCTTATGGGCGTTGCATGGAAAGAATGGGACCAAAAGTCGGCAGTGCCCCCCTTAATTGAATGTGTTCCGCCGCTATTGACAGTCATAGTGTTAGTTGAACCTGAGATAAGCGTCCCACGGGCCACGATCACGACACATCAACATTCAACCACGGTATATAGAGAACTCATTCAACATTGACATGTAAGATATATTGCAACCTATTCTCAAAGTAAAGCTGTTAGAATCTGATTAACAGTTACGAATAAATAAAATCCAGAAAGATATCAACCAATTAAACAAAGTAAAATCACCCACGCTGAGATGAAAACTTCCGTCCCGTGCAAGGTGGCGTGGCTGTGTTGCGAAGTTTGAGAAACAAGCGGAAAATGCATTACGCTGGTGTTCTGAAAAAGCCGTCAACGGGAATAGCCTGTGCGCAGGATTAACCTGTGTGAGGTATTCAGTGCTTTTACTGCGCCTTTTCTAGTTGAAAGTTTCAAAAATAATTAAATTGGGCATGAAAGTCATATAATTGTAATGAAATTGCAGTTATCAGCTAAAATATGGGCCAAAATTAGATCAAAATCAATACATGCTTCGGCACTTGAATCCTAGTTGAACACTAATCTTTGTCTCAGTCGCGCCAGAAATGATATTAATTGATTTAGTAGCTAGATCCCTATAGAGCGGCCACTTTACGGTTTATACTAGGTTTCTATGCCACGGGCCACGAATAAGTTGACTTTTCTGATCGGCTCATGCTCGAGGGTACTCGAATTCGCCCTTAATCTTGAAAGCAACCAGTGGCGCGGGAACCGGGGGGGCTAGGGGGGGGCTGAGCCCCTCCAACTTTTCGGCTGGGGGGGCTCGTAATGTATTTGAGCCCCCCCCCCCCCCCCCCCCCAGCTGGAGGAATCGAAATCGGAAATCTACCAACACAATTTCATAGATTCATACATAGGCGCGGGAGCCGGGGGAGAGGGCAGTGGGGGAAGCTTGCCCTCCACTGCAACTCTGGGGCCGTGGGGGCGGTGCCTCACAACTTTTCATGAGGCCAGGAACCGTTGGGGCAGCTTGCCCTCCCCAAATTAGGGGTTGTGAGTGTTACGGTTACTGGAACTTTATTAAACTTAATTTAAACACGAAGGTAGCACTGTAACCGCTTACTAATACTCAAAACTCTCGGCCACACAAGCCGGCCGCCCGCCGCCACACAGGTCCGTCGCGAGAAGGACAAACAGCGCCTCTGGCGGCCGGCCGACAAATTACGATCAGCTGATCGACAAAACTGGGTCACCGGATCGGCGCGCGACGGCCGATCGTCAACAGCGGCAGCTGATCCACAACATCCTCCCCTTCAAAAAGTACGGACACCTAGGTCACAGGTGCACACCCGAGGGCCTAACCTGGCGAATACGGTTGCGGGCGTCGCACTGGGCGGCCATAGCGGCTAACAGCAGTTGGCGGACGGATGGGGGTTCCGTCCGGCTCCGAATCCGAACTATCCGAGTCCGACAGAGCACATTCACTTTCAGCGCTACTCGGCGACTCCACACGACCGGAAACTTCATCGGAGCGGACCGCCAACAATGGCCCGACAGCGGTCCGACCTAACAGCGGAATACAGGCACCGAGGTCCGGTTCCTCGTCAGACACACTGACAGTGACAGGAACCGTCACACATGTCGCCCGTTCTGAATCGTCCCGCACAGAACTTTCTACTTTCTTCAGGTTACTACCATGCACAAGCACCTGCTTTCGTCCCCGCTTAATCCTATAATCAGGTCGCTGCACTTTGACGACTACATATGGTCCAGTAAAACGAGCGGACAGTTTCCTGCTCTTACCACGCTTCACTGCCTGCACTTTTAGCATCACCGTATCGCCTACTTCAATGTCACTAGTTCCAGCCACAGACGAGCGCGACTGGCTGTCCTGCAGTGACTGATGGGCCTGGTCGCGGTCCACCTCGAGACGGCGCTTCAGGTCACTCACATAATTCGCGGAAGTGTCACACTGCAGCTTATCTGCGTCATCAATGATCTCACTCACAACGGGATCGTTCGTGGTCCCAGTCCGTAGACAGTCCATGACAACTGACAGCACCGGGTCCTCCCGCGTCGCCTGCTGCAGCTCTGGCAGGCTGAGCCGGCTAGACGTCGCCTCCGCCCCGACCGCAGCTTCGTCAGCCGCCGAGCTTTTCAGCTCCACAGCTCGGACCGTCGCCGGCACGTCACCTTCGGCCAGCTCTCACGAGTCACCATTTGGCACGCAGCCAACACTGACACTGGACAGTCCTTGTTTTGGCACACAGCCAGCACGGTCACCAGACAGTCCCTGTTTTGGCACACAGCCAGCATCAGCAGACAGTCCTTGTTTTGGCACACAGCCAGCATCAGCAGACAGTCCTTGTTTTGGCACACAGCCAGCACTGTCACCATCACCACAGTCCCTGGACAGTGCGTCCGCGTGGGGAATCGCAGTCCCCGGTCGGTGAACCACCGTAAAGTCATACTGGGACAACTCCATGACCCAGCGAGCCAGCCGACCAGACGGATCCTTTAGGCTCCAGAGCCACTTGAGCGCCTGGTGGTCCGTCACGACGACGAACTCAGTCCCGAGGACGTACCATCGGAACCTGGTCACGGCCCGAATCACAGCGAGCAGCTCGTGCTCAGTCGTCGTGTAGCGCGACTGACAGTCCGTCCATTTTCCTGAAGCGAAGGCGACTGCATACTCACCATCACCATCACACTGGCTCAGAGTCGCGCCCCAGCCGCGCGAGCACGCATCGGTCGTGATCCGAAACGGCTGCTCCGGGTCCGGCGGCCGGACCACAGGGAAGGCAGCCACCGCCTTCCGGAGATCCTGGAAACTCCGCTCTGCTGCCTCTGTCCACTCGAACGAGTGCCGGCGAGTCAGATCAGTCAGACCCACCGCGCGCACACTGAAGTGAGGAATCAGGTGACGGAAGTAGCCCGCCATCCCCACGAATCGCAGCACCTCCTTCACGCTGCTCGGCCTCTTGTAGGCCGTGATCGCAGCCACGTTGTCGTACGCCGGCCGGATACACCCCTCAGAGATCACGTGAGACAGAAACGTGACCTCAGACTGTGCGAAGCGGCACTTCTGGGGATTCAGGCGGATCCCGCTCCGCTCGAGCCGCTCGAACACCTCCCTCAGAACAGCGAAATGCTGCTCTAGAGTCTCCGTGAAGATGAGTACGTCGTCCAGATACACGACCACTGACTGGTGCAGCAGGTCCTTCAGCACCGTCGTCATCATCCGCTGGTACGTTGCCGGTCCATTGCACATACCAAAGGCCAGGACTTGGTAGCAGAATTGCCCCTGATCGGTGACGAAGGCTGTCTTCTCTTGTGCCGATTCGTCCAGTTTCACTTGCCAGTACGCAGCCTTCTGATCGAGCTGCGAGAAGACACGGCATTTGGGACCGATCGACGCCAGCAGCGACTCTATCCTAGGTAGAGGAAAAGAGTCTTTCACGGTGCAGCGGTTCAGCTCCCTGAAGTCAGTACATACTCGAAAGCTCTTGCTTCCCTTCTTCTTTACAAGAAGCACCGGGCTCGCGTACGGGCTGGCACACTCCCGTATCACGCCCATTGACAGCATGTCCGCGATCTGCTGGTTGGCAGTCTCTCGCAGAGCCGGCGGAATCGGGTACGGCTTCTTTTTCCGCGGCTCCTCCATCAGCTCTATGCGATGTTCGACAGCTGTGACTCGTCCGAGCTGCCCTGGCGAGCTGAACACGTCCGACTGGTCCAGCACCGCCTTCAGCTTCTCCTGATCCACTGTTGACAGGTGAGACAGGTCAGCCTGTGTCTTCACCTGGTCCAGGAACGGCATCACCTCCTCGTCCAGACTGTCCTCGAAGTCCTCCACCGCACCATCTGTCACCACACACCGGCACACGGTGGCGGCAGGCTCTCTGACCTCCTGTCCAAAACATGAGAGCACACCGGTACTGAAGTTGACAGCCACTTCAGCCGCCTTTAGAAAGTCTGTGCCGAGTAGCACACAGTCAATGCACTCGGCGACCAGGACCTCCATGGTCACCTCACCTGCAGTGCCTGGCACATGCAGAACCACATCTGCAGCTCCGTGAACATGGAGACTTTCCTGTCCAGCTCCCACCACAGCCTTTCGGCTGTGTCGCAGCTGCAGCTGACACCTGTCGGCCGTCGATCGCGACAGAAGCGTCCGCTCGCTGCCGCTGTCCACGACTGCATCCTGCACTAGCCGTCCATTCACCGTCACGTCCAGCTTCAACGTCGAACCGACAACCACTCGCCTGTTGGCCGTCACAGCTCCTGGTCCTGCACCACTGGTGCCAGCACCACCACTGGTGCCACCACTGGCACCCCCCATGGCACCACCTCGGTTACCACCACTGGCACAGTATCGACTGATGTGCCCCACACCTCCGCACTTATAGCACTTAATGCCCTTTGAGCCGCCTGACCGGCTCCCTCCTTTGCACTGTTTGGCAATATGTCCCATCTGGCCACACGAATAACACTTTCGACTCACAGATCTTCCAGTCTCCTGGCAGCGCCTCGCTGCTGACCTCTGCTTGCCATGGAGCAGAGTCATGTGAGTCACCAGCTGGTCCAGCGAGGACAGGTCGCCCTCTCCCAGCTTGTGCGACCAGGCCTCTGGCGCACCCTTAATCGCCTGTACGATGGTCATGCGGTCCAGAGACTCTGCTGTCAGCTCTGGCATGACCTGCTGAATCTGACTCTTCAGCGCTTCTACGTACTCCCGCGGAGTTTCGCCTGGCTGCAGACGACGCTGGTCCAGCCCTTGAAGGATCTGTCCCTTCATCACCTCCGGCGTCAGCAGATGCAGCACCTTTTCTTCGGCAGCACTGACTGTAGCATCCCGTTCGGCAGCCTGCACTTCCGCCTCAACCCGGTCGGCCACCCAGGCCGCCCGCCTACACGAGCCAAGGGCATAACAGATCAAGTCCAGGGCCACCACGCCCGACAGGTTTTTCAAGCTCGCATAACGCCGAAACTGCTTGAAGAAACGCCGTGGTTCGGCGTACTCGAACACGGGGAGGGGCAGGCTCAGTGCCCCAGTCGCCCCGGCACTCGTGTCCACCGAGTTATCCATCACCGGTCCCGTATCACACAGATTATCCGTCCGGTATCCGTTCACTCAGTTTGTTTACATCATCACACGGGGCGCCGCCATGACACACCTGACCGGTGGCGCCGCCCGCGGAATAGTCCCGAAGCTTCCCTGTGACGTCACGTCCGGCTAACGCTCTTCCCGCTGCCGGCCGACGCCATCTTCGATGATCTTCGGCACACTGATCGGTTTCGCTCACGCCGACTGCGGCA